CCGACGGCCCCTCCAGGAAAAATCTTCCTCAAAAAAAAAAAAAAAAAGTGAGAAATCACCCCGGAGGGATTGTCATGCAGCAGCACGTTTCCTCTGTTCTCTTGGGATCTTGGGCACGCAGGCACGCCCAGTGTGAGTGTAAGCCGCCAGTCTAGAACTCAAACTTCAGTTGACTGTGTGGGAGTCCAGCGATGTAACCATTATGCCATCTGCTGGTCCATATTTATTTAATTTTATTTATTTATTATTATTATTTCAGTAGGACTAGAGGCAGACAGAGACAGAGGAAGAGAGAGAGAGAAGGAAAGTGGGAGAAAGCAAGCCAGCACTCAATCTCTAGTCAGCCATGTGGGATTCTGGCACCTTAACTACCACGCCACCTGCTGGCCACCGGGTGACACACTTTTAAAACACCAAACATGGATGAGCAGGTGGCGTAATGGTTAAGGTGCCAGAGTCCCACATGGCCAACAAGGGGGAGAGGTGCCGAACTCCCATATGGCCAACCGTGATTCGAGTCCCAGACTTGAACACGCCAGGTGCGACTGTGTGCATGCCCAAAATTCCAGGAGGAGGATGGGGAAGGGATTGTGGCGTGTGTGTGTGTGTGTGTGTGTGTGTGTGTGCGCGCGCACGCATGTGGTGCTTTCTTACTTTCCCTCTCACTGTGTCTCTCTGAATATGGTGTGCACATATGCCCTATGGCAAAAATAAATAAATAAATATAAATAACATAAAACACCATACAGAAGCTGAAATATGGGTAGGATACATTTAATAGGGAAGAGTAAGTGGCTTTTCTTTTTTATAAATTCTTTAAAAACAAACAAAAAAAGTTTATATATTTTTTTATCTATTTGTTGTGATTTTCAAGTTGTCAGGGCCAGGACTTGAACTGCAGTCAGCCATTTGCAAATCTAGCACCTTAACCACCATGCCACCTGTTGGCCCATACGTGGCCTTTTAGTTTGGAAAATGAAAAGGACTTTGCACGTACATATCTGTTAAAGACCTGGGGTCCCAGTAGGGACCCCAGTGGGGATTAGTTATATACCACGGTCATAAAACAGCATGAGTCTTAGAGAATTAGGGGACCTGTGCTTGGGGTTCTCTGCTCAGCTCTAATCTCAAGGCGTTCCCTGGATGATAAAGCCCTTTTTAAGATAGTAAGAGCAACAAAATGAGGGGAAATAGTCTCTTACTGACAGATTAAAAGGAATGTTTACTCAGCCTGGTGACTGAAAGATCATTGTGTAACTAAATACTATGTAACGTAATATTGCAACAGTCTTCTAGAGAGGAAGCAGAGTGATAGAGGTCGTTTTTTCTTTCTTTTTTTTAAGAGAGTTTTGCCTTAGGGCTCATGTGCTCAGAGAGAGAGAGAGAGAGAGAGAAATCTCCCCCGGGGGGATGTCCATGCCTCAATCCCGCTCCTCTATTCTCCTCTTGGTATTTGGGGCACCTATGCCCACATGCCTGGCCTGATTTTCAAGCTACTGTGTCTGGGGCTTGAACTGCGATCAACCATGTGGGAGTCCAGTGATGTAACTGCTATGCCATCTGCTGGTCCCACATTTTTCTTACATCTATTGAAAATTCAAAGGAGGGAACCAGCAGTTGGCGTAATGGCTATGTCGCTGGACTCCCATGTACTTGACCGCAGTTCGAGTCCCGGACCTGGTGTCTTAAACTCACGCCAGGTGCGTGTGCGCGCGTGCCCAAGATCCCGAGAGGAGAATGGAGGAGAAGGGATTGCAGTGTGGCCATCCCCCCTGGGGGGTGATTTCTCGCTTTCTGTCTGTCTCTTTCTGTCCTTCTGGCGAGTGCACACACCCTATAGCAAAAACCTCTTCTCCCCCCCCAATAAAAAAGAAAATTCAAAGGAAATTTGGTTGCATACCAAAGGATTTGGATATTATAAATGTTATTTATTTATGATTGCTGTAGGGCGCATGTGCTCACCAGAGAGTGACAGAGAGGAAAAGTAAGACTCTCCACCTCCCCCCAGGCTGCGCTGCAAGCCCTTCTTCCCCAGCACTTTGGCCATGCATGCACACAGTGTGATTTTCAAGCCACTGGGTTGGGGACTCGAAAGGTGCTACTGGCCATGTGGAGCCTCATGCTTTAACTTCCATGCCACTTGCTGGCCGCAAAGATTAGATAAATTTTTTTTTTCTTTTGCTTTTTTCAGAGAGAGATATTTTACTATAGGGCACATGCACCTGCCAGAGAGACCGAGAGAGACAGAGAGACAGAAAGTGAAAATCACCCCCCGGGGATGGCCACGCCGCAATCCCTTCTCCTCCATTCTCTTCTCTGGATCTTGGACACACACGCACACACGTCTGGTGTGAGTTTTAAGTCGCCAGATCCCAGACTCGAACTGCAATCGACTACGTGGGAGTCCAGCAACACAACCATTACACTATCTGCTCGTCCCAAGATACTTTTAAGAATTATAAGAGGCTCAGATAAGTTGCCAAG